TTAACCTATAGTGCCACACCAGGACTCCAGCGACCCTATAGGACCGAGTAAAACTTCTTCCTAGTGTTGCAAAGACTAAATCTTAACAAGAGCGAATAGTTTCATCTTTTTCCCTCAGAGAAGCTGGTGGATTTAAACTGCTGAAGTGGTGATTAGCAGCTCAATGTGTAACCCACTATGCTATCAGAGTTCCTGTAATATTAATAGTTACAATTAGCTGAGAATATATATATACAATATTCCTGAACATCTGGTTACCAGTGCCATTTTACAGATGAGAGAACTGAGGTGTAGAGGGAAAACATTTGTCCAAGACAGTCACAATCAGTAAATGGTAGAAGAAGAATTTGAGCCCAGGCAATCTGACTTCAGAATGTAAGCTCCTTATCAAAGAGTCTTGGGTCGTGTCGGAGGAAATGCTTTTATATGTATGATGACTATCTCGTGCTCCTGTGTGGTTCATATTATAAATGCTATAGGAATTCCGTTGGCAGAGGAACTCCCAGTACCTGGGCATGACTGTGTGCCAGGCATTGTACTGGGTGTTTCTATTCTTACCATTTAAGGAAAGGGAGCTTAAGTGTATATGACAGGAGAGGAGCCTGGTTTATTCACAAACTGTATAATCTCAGGCAAATTCCTCAACTTTTCTGACTTGGCTTCCTCAATTACAATCCAAAGGACAGCAATTATCTTATGGATTTGCTGATGCTGCTAGATGCTGTTGGTTCTGACTCATGGAGACCCCTGTGTGCAGAGTAGAACTGTTCCATGGCGTTTTCAAGGCTGGGATCTTTCAGAAGTACGTTGCCAGTCTTCTGAGGGACCACTGGGTGGGTTTGAACCAGCAACCTTCCAACTAGTAGTCAAGCACTTAACTGTTCGTGCTACCCAGGGACTCCTGATGGGAGTAGGGGGGTGATTTTAGATCATATATGGAGAGTGCTTAACATCCACCTATTGCTGTCAAATTGATTCTGACTCATCGTGGCCCTATCAACGAGCAGAACTGCTCCCTAGGGTTTCCAAGGCTGTAAATCCTTACCGAAGCAGACTGCCTCATCTTTTTCCCATGGAGCAACTGGTGGGTTTGAACTGCTGACGCCAACCTTTAGGTTAACCTACTGTACTCTGGTAGCACAGCGGTTACAAATCGGGCTGCTAACCTTAAGGCCGACAGTTCAAAACTACCAGCTGTTCCGTGTGAGAAAGATGAGGCTTTTTGCTCCCGTAAGGATTTACAGCCTCAGAAACCCTGTACAGGGTCGCTATGAGTTGGAACTGACTCCATGGTACTTAACAACAACAACAACAACTGTACCACCAGGCCTCTTCATCTAACAGAGTGCCAGCAGATATATAGTCTGTTCACTCACTCCACCATCTGTCTGTCAGTCTGTCACACCGTAGTGGTGTGTTGTTGTTATACTAGGAGCCATGCCACTGGCATTTCAGAAGCCAGCAGGGTCAGCCGTGGTAGGTACGTTTCAGCGATGCTTCTAGACTAAGATAGACTAGGAAGAAAGACCTGGTAAGTCACTTCTGAAAATCAGTCAATGAAAACCTTATGGATCACAACAGAATACTGTCTGACTCGCTTGCTCTGAATAGATCACCAGGAAGGATCAATGGCTGGATGACACAGGGGCATGGTGAAGTAGAGGATCTTTGAGAAGGGACAGGTAGACCATGGTGAGATGGGGAGACACAACTTCCAGACTGAGGAGCTCGACGATGTTGGAAAACATGAGGAGGATGTAGAACTGGACAATTTTTATTCTGCTGTACGTAAATAACCAGACTTGGAGTCAACTCAGTGGTAACTGTCTGTGTACTTATTGATTCAACAAAATATAAGACCGAGACACTTGAGAACCACACTATCAGCCAGCCTATGCTGCTGTAACAAATAATGCCAAAATATCAGTGGCTTAACACCACAAACATTACGATTCATCCTTACACCTTTTTGAATCCAGGTTGGCTGGACTTGCTCTGCCATCTTTACATAGAGACCCACGCTTGGGAGGCAAGATAGGAAAAAGCAAACATAATTGACTTGTTGTTTTTGTTGTTGTTAGGTGCCATCGAGTCGGAACGGACTCATAGCGACCCCATGCACAGCAGAACGTAACAATGTCCAATCCTGGGCCAACCTCACTACCGCTGCCACACTTGACGCCATCAATGATGCCACCTGGCTGATCCATCTCATTGGGTGTCTTCCTCTTTTTCTCTGACCCTCCATCTTACCCAGCATGACATCCTTCTCCAGCGACTGTTCCCTCCTGACAATATTTCCAAAGTATGAGAGACGAAGCTTAGCCATCCTGGCCTCCAAGGAGCACTCTGGCTGTACTTCTTCCAAAACAGATCTATTAGCGGTTCTTAAAAGTGTCCATCGGGCATCTATACACATCCTTTCTGTTCTCAGCCCATTGGCCTAAGTTAAGTCACACAGCCACATCTAACTTCGGGATGATGGGATACTGGATTCCTGCCATGTCCCTGCTAGGAAAAAAAGTCAGAAAATATTTGGTGCACACTTTAATTACAACTAACAGACCCAATCTGTTAAGCTGTAAGGCAGATCTCCTAAGCCATATTTTAAGGAGCCCTGGTGGCACAATGGCTCAGCCGCTGAGCGAAAAGATTGGTAGTTTCAACACACACAGCAGAGCTGCAGGAAAAACGCCTGGTGATTTGCTCCTGTCAAGGTTGTTGTTGTTGTTATGTGCCGTGGAGTCGGTTCCGACTCAGCGACACTGTACAGGGTTTCCGAGGCTGTAAATCTTTACGGGAGCAGAAAGCCTCATCTTTCTCTGGCAGAACAGCTGGTAGTTTCGAACTGCTGACCTTGTGGCTCGCATAGGAAACTCTATGGGTATTTCTACTCTATCCTGTGGGTTGCTGAGTGGAAATCCACTCAAGGGCACCTAAGAACAATTCCTATTTTCAGCTAAGGAAACTGAAGCTCTGAGAGGGAGGTTAATTCTTTGTTTGACCCAAGTCACACCTCAAATCCACCGGGACCCAGGACTCAACCCATGCACTTTAATGTACATGCACTATGTCTACAGACTTTGTATAAATGAGAATGTGGCAGTGAGTCCATTTAAATGTGTGGTGGACAGAACAGGAACTGAATAAACATGTCCTTTTGCTTGTTTGTGCAACGGCCTGTTTGTGTCTGCAGACGGTGGAAGGGGGCAGAGGGGTTTATGCCAGGCTTCAGCGCCAAAGGAAGAACCGGGCCTGAGAGCTGGGTGGAGGCCCGTATGCAGGAGGTGATGAGGGCAGTGTGAGGGCCTCTTGGGCAGCAGGCTGACCAGCAGGAGGAGGCCTGACTGTTGCAGGTGTAAGGTGATAAGGGTAGTAGAGTAGCAGAGACAGCAGGAATGCAGAGGAAGGGATGAACCCGAGACCTGGCAGAGGAAGCTCATCTGGTTGGTTAAAAAGCAGAGAACCGCCAAGGTGCTTTACAGACCTCTCTTTCTTCCTACCCCAGTCTGGCAGATTGCATCATCTATTACAGAAGACATTCCCTAAGGCCCCCTTTTCTCTTGCTTTCTTCCCGGATTCCTCTTGCCTCTTCCTAGGTGAACAGAGGCAGCCTCGCCGTCCTTGGAGGAACTTCCTGACTAACTCTCAGCTTGTGGGGTCGGGTCACTGCTCAGCCGCAAGGGCGGGGATTCATCAGAGGTTCCTGATTTGCCCACCTTTGACAGTGGCCTTCTCCAGAAGGGGGGTAGCCTCTGTGAACCCATCTCCGACGCAGCACCCGCACCTTTTGCACGCCCCCCAACTTTCTCCCTCTCCCAGACGGCTGTCCAGCTGGAGTGCAAGCTGGTTTCCGAGGGCCCCAGCTCCCCGACTTTGCCCTTCTGAGGGGAGGGCGTGGTGGCCCAGACCCAAGCACTCTTCTTGGGGTTGTTGGGGATGCAGTGGGCCCCGGAGAGCACAGCTCTCCCCCAGCCGTTTGTAGGGGCCTACGAGGCTGGGATGCATGCTTTGGCTGGGCGGTAGGGCCCCGCGCCGCAGCGGCCGGTGCGGGGGCCGGTGACTCACCGCCTGTAACCCAACACCGCCCTGCCTCCCCTCCCCCAACCCTCCGGCCCAGCGGCCACAGCGACACCTCCGGAAAAATGAAGGGGTGCTCGTGCCCCTGGTGTCCCCTGCAGCATCTCGCGTGGGCCTTGGCGGTTCCCGGCTCCACGCCTTCCCGTGTTCCCAGCCCCGTGGCTCAGCGAGCCGCCGCCCCGGCACGAGCAGGAAGAGAGGCCGATCGGCCGGAGCAGCAGGCGGCGGCGGCGGCGGCTGCGGCTGCGGCTGCGGTGGCAGCTGAGGGCCCACGGTAGCTGTAGCAGGCAAGCCTGGGGAAGGGGCACCCCAGCTGGGGACGCCTCCAGTCCCCATATGACCAAGCGAAGACAAAGCCTGTAGCAGCAGCTACGCCTGCGGCCTAAGCCGCGCACAAAGGGCGAGTCCCGACACGCACCCATCCCCCTCCTGGCTCGGGGTGGCCCTGCTGGGGGGGTGGGGTGGGAGGCGAGGCTAGAGGTGGGGAAGCCCCGGCCACGCCGCCAGAGCGCCCCCCCACCCCGGCCAAGCACGCCCCGCCCCCGCCCCGCCTGCCTGTCCTCCCGGGGAGGAGTTGGGGGGCGCGGTGCCCACATAACACTCCCCTCCGGCGCTCGGAGCCACCCCTCTCCCCGCCCTTCTGCAAACACCACCGCCTCCCCTGCCACCTCCGCCACCTCGCCCGACGTTCCGCAACTCGCCACGGCTCGGGGGCGGTGCGCCGGCCGGTGCGTGCCGGGGGCGCCAGATGTGCCGTCCCCGCCGCCGCCAGTGACCAAGCCGCCGCCGGAGCGCGAGCCGGGCCGCTTCTCCAATGCTGCGTGGGCGACTCTGAACGCACCCCGCATTCCCTCCGCGGGGACCCCAACACTCCAAGCGAGCGCAGTGCTGCCCTCTCCAACCCAGTCCGCCTGCGTTTGCACATGGAGGGGGCTACTGCGCCCGCGGCGGGGGATGGTCCCGACTTGGGGTCGGGGGCTCTGGGCTCACCCCCGGCGGGGGCAGAAGGGGCAACCTCAGTTCCTGTGGTGGCGGCGGCGGCGGCATCAGCCCCAGAGCCCAGGAAGCCACACGGGGTGAAGCGACATCACCACAAACACAACTTGAAGCACCGCTATGAACTGCAGGAGACCCTGGGCAAAGGCACCTATGGCAAAGTCAAGCGAGCCACCGAGAGGTTTTCGGGCCGAGTGGTGAGTGAGGAAATCCTCTGGGGGTGCCCGGCTAGACGCGTCTGGAAACAGGGCGCGTGGGGCCGGGGTTTTTGTGTGCGCTGGGGCACTCTTGTAGGAGAAGGGGTCCCAGGGAAACCCCCGGACAGACGCCTCATGCTTTCCCTGGCATCCCGTGACTCAGGCGTGTCTCTCTCCCGAAACACTTGTTACATCCTGTCTGCACATATTTTGGGGTTTTTTATCCCAGCAGCAAAGTAGTGTTTATGATTTGCAAACACTTTGCAGCGACAGGAGTGTCAGGGTCTCCCTTGCGGGCACACATTTAGACCTTGCGCAGGAATGCCTGATGTCTCCAACTCCAAATAGATCTACACCCTCAGTTGAGAGAGAGCTGGTCCCCCAAGACCCATGTCCTATAGGCGAATGCGGTCCCCGGCACCCACTCACCCATCTATCCCCAGACCTCTCTCAGCATTCTCCCCGTCCGGCTCCCTGAAGCTAATGCGGGCTGCAGAGGGGTGTGGGGGGGGAGCAGATGGACTGTGCCTACTCTTTTAAAAGCGAGGGTTAGGGAGCAAACTTCAAGATTGTGGCAGGCCTGAGGGTTGGGACGGTGACAGTTTGTGTCTTGACTTCAGGGAGGACTGGATTGCTGCAGACATGTGCAGCTATAAAGATGCAGAGTCACATCAGACCCTTTGCATTTCAAGTCCAGGCTGCAGGACTAGTAAACTGGTTAAGAGGTCTGTCCCAGCTGCCCCATGACAGTTGAAACCCTGCCAGAATCCCAGGACCATTTGCACAGTCCCAGCAAACACTTAGAGCCCCTTAGGGTCTCTGTACCACCCCAGCCTAGAGTTGTTGTCATTTTGCTTTCTGCCTTACAGGCCCTTGAAATCCACACTGGTTGTGGCAAGAGGGGGTTGGGTTCAAAGTGTCTGACTATTGCAGAAAGATTGTGTGTGGTGTGTGGCAGAAAAAAGAACATAGCTCTCTGATTCGAAGCAGATCAGATGTATTTTAATCGATTTAGGGCCAGAGTAAGGAACTAATTATGGGATTCCTTGTGTGCACTTGTGTGTGTGTGTGTGTGTGTGTGTCTGTGTGTGGCTGCCGTGTTTTGTGACCCAGAGTTGATCATAAACTTAAATTATTGTAGGGGAAAACCAAAATGAACTATTGAATGAAGTTGCAGGTTGAAGCTGATATTTTTCTTTTGTGTTTGCATAGGGACAGTTATGTATCAAAAATGAGGTATTACCAGCAAAGTTCCGCTCCCAGATTCTCAAGTATCTGAATATATCAGAGGTCTTGAATACTCTGAAGAACCCCTTCACATCACAGCTTCACAGTGTGGGTTGACACTGCTTTACCCTATAGTTAAAAAACAACAACAACAAAGTATTGTTAGTTAATTGGACTGCTAAATACAAGGTTGGCAGTTCAAACCCACCAGACTCTCCTCTGGAACCCTCTACCAGGTTGCCATGGGGTTGAACCAACTTCATGGCACTTAATGATAACATATATTTTTAAGCTGCCTCAGTAATAAATTCTATCCTAAGCAAGTAACTGGAAATTTACTGTGGGCAGGTGCAGGTGCTTTTTATTAAATTGGTTTGGTTTACAATTCTAAGGAGATGGGCTCAGGAGATGTCCTTTGGCGAATACACTTTCAGGTTTGTGGAAGAAGAGGCTGAAAAAAATAGAGTTCATTCATGCTTTTCTTCTGAGGTGATAGTCCCCAGGCTGATGAAGCAAAAAACTAAGCTTGCTCATGTTGTCATAATAGGTTTTGAAGAATCACACAGGGAAGTGGGACCGCGGAATAACGGAAAACAGATCCAGGCAGTTCAAGCTGCAGGTTGAGGCTGTGAACATGTGAGGGGTTGAGTGGTTGGTATCTGTACAGGGACAAAAAAATGCCCAAATGCTGGATGCTGCTATAAACCTTTTGAAAGAATGAAACCTTTTCTTAGAGCAAACGCCTTTCTGAGCGTCATTCAGGCTTCCTGACAGGCGTTTTTCTAGCCGTCTGAGCCACAGTCTGGGATAGAGTGAAAGGGGCTTGCCTCACTAAGCGCGAGCCTGCCTGTCTCTTTTTCTGGGCGTCTTCTCTTTTATTTGCAGAAACCTTGAACATTCCGTCAGGATTTAATCCAATGGCCACCAGGGGGCGCTCTGAGAACAGAAGAGGCTCGTTTCTCAGTTGCAAGACTTCAATTCACAGTTATTATCCAGCCCAAGTTCAGTTTCCCATTGTACTATTCATTTCACTTAAATCTCTTGTTTTACTCAAAAATTGTGTAAAAATTTTGAATCCGGCAGCAGATCCGAGCCCAGAAACTGGCGATTTACAAATTGCTTAATTTTATTAACTGACTGCTTCTTCTACTTGACAGAAAAGCTTTGAATGCTAACAAGATCATCTGGGGGACCTTGCATTAAACAGATGGGAAAACTGAGGTTTGGTGAAGGGAAGTGTCTTTGGCCCTGAGTCCTCCCCCTGCTGAGATCCCTGCTCACAGATGGTGTAAGAACTTAAGTGAGAAACAGAAATTGTCAGGTGGAAAATTCCCATCGCCTAGCTGGACAGAAAATAAAACAGCAATAGACAAGGGAGTAAGTTGCTCTTGCTGGTTCGGTGCTGGGAACTCAGAATGCGTTAAGCACAACATACAATTTTCACATAAATTTGGATTGATTTCTCCCCACTAAGTTCCAATCTGTATTTCGTTCCCCTAAGTTTCGTTCTGCTGTGCATGGGGTCGCTATGAGTCGATTCTGACTCGATGGCACCAGACAACAACAACGACAACGACAACGACAACAATAAGTTCCAATCAACCCACTGCCGTTGAGTTGATTCCAACTCATAGCAACCCTATAGGATAGAGTAGAACTGATCCCAACAAGTTTCCAAAGCTGCTTCATGGAAAGCAGACTGACACATCTGTCTCCCTCGGAGCAGCTGGTGGGTTCAAACCTCTGATTTTTCAGTTAGCAACCAAGTGTTTTAACGACTATACCACCAGGATTCCTTGATGATGTACTTAGCAGCCACAACTTGCTTTTGAGGAGAGGAGGAGCTGACTAGGAAGGAGAGAGCCTTTATGTCTTTGAACAGAATTCCAGTGTGTTTTATAGCATCTATGGGAAGGAGCAGTGCCCTCAACTTACTTTGCATATGTGAGTGGCTGAGATCTCATGCTAGGTATCAGACTGCTTGAGATTCTGTGAAAGCCACACTCATATCCCAAACAGGGACCCCTCTGAGAGAAGGAAAACGTTTTCAAAAATGAGAAGGTGGTGGCTTGTAAGTATCTGGCAGGACCCTCTGACTAAAGCAGCACAACACAGTAAGTACAACACATCGTTCTTCTCTAGTCTGTGAAAGGCAGTTTGCAAGAGAGTTGTAGAATCAGGAACTTGGAGTAAGAGGCCCATTCTTCTGAGCGGTCCAAGCATCCTCTCCCAACTTCTTCCTTCCCAAATGGGATCTTGCAGCCACTGTGTCAGCAGGTCCACAAGACAAGGACTCAAAGTGGCTCCTTGCAGACATTAACAAGTCCAACAGTGAGGCTCTCAAAAACTTCACATACTTGACCTACTGCTTTGTGACCTTAGGCCAGCTATGTAACTCAGCTTCCTCATCTGTAAAATGGGGCCTATTAAGTAGTACTAATTTCATGGATTTGTGAGAATCAAATGAAATCTGTGTAAAACTCCAAAGAGGGTAAAATTAGCCAAGTTAAGTCCCCTATTAGCAGATTTCTTTCTCAACTCATTTAAAGTTTCATTTAGATTTTAAGACTACCTGAAAAGTCTGAGGTATGGGGCAATTAGCTATGTAACATACAGAGAAGGGTTCGGGGAAATCATCAAGTATTTAGGGTAATTAAATCCATACCAGGTTAATTAGGGAGGGGTGCCTGTCTACAGGAAGGCAGGCAATCAGCTCGATTCAGATAGGATCTGAAGCATTGCTCAAGTTTTGAAATCAGGCCTTGTTTATTACACAACATTTGTTTTGATAAATTTCTGGGTGGGGTCTTGTGTCCTAGTACAGACCTGCGTTTTGTTTGAGTTAAATTCCCTGGACTTTCAGGTCACACGAAGCCATGCCAATAAAACAAAAAACAAAAACAAACTACTTTGAGGGGAGAGGTGTCATGTGATTACCCCTCTGCCAAGGGCCAAGTTCCACTTTCTCTCCTACTAGGTTATGGCTTGTGAGCAGCATGTGGTGGCTGTGTGAACAGCAGGTTCATGTCTGGGAGGGGCCTGAGCTAGGCCTATAGGACAGGACAGGTGGGTAGATGTACCCCCAGCCTGCTCTGGTTACTCCCCACCCCACGCCTGCCACCAGAGTACTAGCTTAGGTGATGGGAAGTGATTTGACCAAGAATGGGTGTTTTAAGCACTAGCGAAAAGTTATTCATAGGCTTATGCTGGTAAACTGTAGATCAGGAGGTGAATTAGTAAATTGGCCCGCTAAGCTAGGAGCTATGAGGATGTCATTTGTACAATAGCTGAAATACCATGTTGTCGCTAAAGCACAAATGCAGGTTTAGAACATGAGGGACCTTGGCCAACACATGCTCCAATGGTTTCAACACAGAAGTGGGAAAAATTAGACACAGAAGAGTGAAATGACTTTTCTGAGGTTACACAGCTATGAAGTGACTGAACAGGGTCTAGAAACAGGATTCTTGGTTTGGTATCTTCCCACGACTCATCTAATAGACTCTACCTAGAGCAAGACAAGGAGTCCTAATATGGTGCTGTGGGTTAATTTGCCAGACTGCAAAGCCATTGAGCTGCAAGGTCAGTAGTTCAGGCCACCACCTGCTCCTTGGAAACCCTATCCAGGGGTCTCTATGGGTTGGAACTGACTCGATGGCACTTAATAACAACAAGAAGAGCAAGCTAAAGAGTCTTTGGGTGGTGCCAGTGGTTGATCACTTGACTGCTCGCTGAAAGCTTGATGATTTGAACCTAACCAGATGGTGGTGGTT